TGATTTTTTAATCTCTTCGTAATACAAATAATTAAAATATATATGACTTCTAAAATCCATTATAATATTTTTAATAACTTTATTTTTTCTTTATGAGGAATTTGTTTTTTTCTTTTAATCTTTTTTAAATGATAAAAAATTACAAAAATTTATTTGAAAATTAAATTTAACGTTTTGAACATTTATTTAATTAAATAATTTTCAATTAAACACATGTAATGAAATGTAAATTTTTTTAATAGAGACGATTGATAATAATATACACATAAATATTTTTATAATGATTGTAATTATAGTTTGTTTGTTTTTATCGAAAGACAAAAAAATGTGTAATTGTTAACCCTCTAAGGGCTGGGAAGTTTTAAAAAAGTTGAATACATTACAGACTATAAGCCAAACAATAGGCTAGATTAAAGAGTAGACTAAAGACTAGGCTATAGACTAGACTATAGACTAGACTATAGACTAGACTATAGACTAGACTATAGACTAGACTATAGACTAGACTATATACTAGACTAGACTATAGACTAGACTATAGACTAGACTATAGACTAGACTATAGACTAGACTATAGACTAGACTATAGACTAGACTATAGACTAGACTATAGACTAGACTATAGACTAGACTATAGACTAGACTATAGACTAGACTATAGACTAGACTATAGACTAGACTATAGACTAGACTATAGACTAGACTATAGACTAGACTATAGACTAGACTATAGACAAGACTATAGACTAGACTATAGACTAGACTATAGACTAGACTATAGACTAGGACTATAGACTAGACTATAGACTAGACTATAGACTAGACTATAGACTAGACTATAGACAGACTATAGACTAGACTATAGACTAGACATAGACTAGGCCATAGACTAGACTATAGACTAGACATAGACTAGACTATAGACAGACTATAGACTAGACTATAGACTAGATATGAATAGGACTATAGACTAGACTATAGACTAGACTATAGACTAGACTATAGACTAGACTATAGACTAGACTATAGACTAGACTATAGACTAGACTATAGACTAGACTATAGACTAGACTATAGACTAGACTATAGACTAGACTATAGACTAGACTATAGACTACTAGACTATAGACTAGACTATAGACTAGACTATAGACTAGACTATAGACTAGACTATAGACTAGACTATAGACTAGACTATAGACTAGACTATAGACTAGACTATAGACTAGACTATAGACTAGACTATAGACTAGACTATAGACTAGACTATAGACTAGACTATAGACTAGACTAGACTAGACTATAGACTAGACTATAGACTAGACTATAGACTAGACTATAGACTAGACTATAGACTAGACTATAGACTAGACTATAGACTAGACTATAGACTAGACTATAGACTAGACTATAGACTAGACTATAGACTAGACTATAGACTAGACTATAGAACTAGACTATAGACTAGACTATAGACTAGACTATAGACTAGACTATAGACTAGACCTATAGACTAGACTATAGACTAGACTAATAGACTAGACTATAGACTAGACTATAACTAGACTATAGACTAGACTATAGACTAGACTATAGACTAGACTATAGACTAGACTATAGACTAGACTATAGACTAGACTATAGACTAGACTATAGACTAGACTATAGACTAGACTATAGACTAGACTATAGACTAGACTATAGACTAGACTATAGACTAGACTATAGACTAGACTATAGACTAGACTATAGACTAGACCTATAGACTAGACTATAGACTAGACTATAGACTAGACTATAGACTAGACTATAGACTAGACTATAGACTAGACTATAGACTAGACTATAGACTAGACTATAGACTAGACTATAGACTAGACTATAGACTAGACTATAGACTAGACTATAGACTAGACTATAGACTAGACTATAGACTAGACTATACTAGACTATAGAACTAGACTATAGACTAGACTATAGACTAGACTATAGACTAGACTAATAGACTAGACTATAGACTAGACTATAGACTAGACTATAGACTAGACTATAGACTAGACTATAGACTAGACTATAGACTAGACTATAGACTAGACTAATAGACTAGACTATAGACTAGACTATAGACTAGACTATAGACTAGACTATAGACTAGACTATAGACTAGACTATAGACTAGACTATAGACTAGACTATAGACTAGACTATAGACTAGACTATAGACTAGGACTATAGACTAGACTATAGACTAGACTATAGACTAGACTATAGACTAGACTATAGACTAGACTATAGACTAGACTATAGACTATAGACCTAGACTTATAGACTAGACTATAGACTAGACGATAGAAGACTAGACTAGTAGCTAGACTATAGACTAGACTATAGACTAGACTATAGACTAGACTATAGCTAGACTATAGACTAGACATAGACTAGACTATAGACTAGACTATATACTAGACTATAGACTAGACTATAGACTAGACTATAGACTAGACTATAGACTAGACTATAGACTAGACTATAGACTAGACTATAGACTAGACTATAGACTAGACTATAGACTAGACTATAGACTAGACTATAGACTAGACTATAGACTAGACTATAGACTAGACTATAGACTAGACTATAGGCTAGACTATAGACTAGACTATAGGCTAGACTATAGACTAGACTATAGACTAGACTATAGACTAGACTATAGACTAGACTATAGACTACACTATAGACTAGACTATAGACTAGACTATAGACTACACTATAGACTACACTATAGACTAGACTATAGGCTAGACTATAGACTAGACTATAGACTAGACTATAGACTAGACTATAGACTACACTATAGACTAGACTATAGACTACACTATAGACTAGACTATAGACTAGACTATAGACTAGACTATAGACTAGACCATAGACTAGACTATAGACTAGATCTATAGACTAGACTATAGACTAGACTATAGACTAGACTATAACATAGACTATAGACTAGACTATAGACTAGACTATAGACTAGACTATAGACTAGACTATAGACTAGACTATAGACTAGACTATGACTAGATGACTAGATAGACTAGACTATAGACTAGACTATAGACTAGACTATAGACTAGACATACAGACTATAGACTAGACTAGGCTAGACTATAGACTAGACTATAGACTAACTATAGACTAGACTATAGACTAGACTATAGACTAGACTATAGACTAGGACTATAGACTAGACTATAGATACTATAGACTAGACTATAGACTAGACTATAGACAGAGACTATAGACTAGACTATAGACTAGACTATAGACTAGCTATAGAACTAGACTATAGACTAGACTATAGACTAGACTATAGACTAGACTATAGACTAGACTATAGACTAGACTATAGACTAGACTATAGACTAGACTATAGACTAGACTATAGACTAGACTATAGACTAGACTATAGACTAGACTATAGACTAGACTATAGACTAGACTATAGACTAGACTATAGACTAGACTATAGACTAGACTATAGACTAGACTATAGGCTAGACTATAGACTAGACTATAGACTAGACTATAGACTAGACTATAGACTAGACTATAGACTAGACTATAGACTAGACTATAGACTAGACTATAGACTAGACTATAGACTAGACTATAGACTAGACTATAGACTAGACTATAGACTAGACTATAGACTAGACTATAGACTAGACTATAGACTAGACTATAGACTAGACTATAGACTAGACTATAGACTAGACTATAGACTAGACTATAGACTAGACTAGACTAGACTATAGACTAGACTATAGACTAGACTATAGACTAGTCTATAGACTAGACTATAGACTAGACTATAGACTAGTCTATAGACTAGACTATAGACTAGACTATATACTAGACTATAGACTAGACTATAGACTAGTCTATAGACTAGACTATAGACTAGACTATAGACTAGACTATAGACTAGTCTATAGACTAGACTATAGACTAGACTATAGACTAGACTATAGACTAGTCTATAGACTGGACTATAGACTAGACTATAGACTAGACTATAGACTAGACTATAGACTAGACTATAGACTTAGCTATAGACTAGACTATATCCTATGTTATAGTCCACATGATGGACTGCACTATAATCTATTCCATAATATAAAAAACATATGACGTCCTTTAAAGGGTTAATAACACTTAAAAACAAATTTTAAAATACAATGTGAATGTAAAAATATTTTTATTTTTTGATAAGAAAACGAGAGGGGGACAAAATTGGTTTGGTGTTTCTAATTTGTTTGTATGTCTGTAATAAAAACTAATTAATCATTTTGAATAAAAAGCTTTTTTATAACAAATAAATAGCTGGTGAATTAACAATGTCAATACAACATTCACAATAACAATCAACAGCAAAACAACAACAACAACAACTTTAATCCTATAGATGGGAAATATGTACTGAAAAGCTTTTTTGTTTAAATGTCTTTTATAAGTCTTGTATTGTTTGTTAAACATAAAGCCGCATACAAGTAGAAAAAAATATCTGTGTATAAATACATATGTGTGTTTGTGTACAAAAAAATGATGTTGCATCTTTAGGATGCAATTTGCCATATGTATAAAATCTGTAGTTGTATTGCTTTTCATTGCATTGCTTTGTTTGTTTGTTGGTTGGTTGCTGTTATCATCATCAAGTAACGCTAATTAAACTTCAACGCTTGTTTTAAAATCATCAGCTTTGGTTTTATTTTTTTCTTCTTTTCTTATAATTCATTTTTTACCATCATCATTTTTTTTTAGTTTTTTTCTTGATTTTTTTCTAATAAATATTTCCACGATTTACTGATTGGTTTTTTATTTATTTCTTTTTCTTCTCTTTTATTTTCTATAAATATTTTTTTCTATATTAAATTTCATTTTGTCTGAACGACTATAACTCGACGACTCCGTTTGGCTGATGTTGATGACTATTGAATGTGCAGCTACTTAAATCTGCTGATGTTTCATCGGATGATGAAGGTTGGTTGTATACATCGGCTCCAGTAGCTACAAATCAACAGCAGCAACATACGTTTGGCGGCGGTATTGAAAGTTTAAATTCTCCGCATATTTCAAGAGGCATTGCAGCAGGAGCTTCCAATGAAATTCATGTTATAGATGGTGGCATACAATCGTCTACGGTCTCATCGTCAACAGCTGGAGGAACATCTGTTGCAGCAGCAGTAGCTTTAGCTTCGGCTATATTGGCCGAAGATTCTGATAAGGAAAATAAAGAGGCCGCCTGTACTACTTCTCTAACGCAAATACTTTTAAACACAAATCAAACCTTTGTCGCCAGTACCACAGTTGTGGATAGCAACAGTAGCAGCAGCAACAGTGGCAGTGATACTAATACAAACCCTACACAACAACAACTTGCCACTTGCAGATCCAACCCAACTGGTAGCAGTTCTAGCAGTAGCATAACAAGTAGTTCTTATTCATCTAATGATCGCCTAACCGAGGCCACAACTACCACCTCTACGAAAACAATTACAACACAAATTTTTAAATATCCAACAACACAACATCCTCCTCAATATCGCAGCGAAATGGAATTACAAATCAATAACAATAACAACAATAATAATAATCATCATCATCAAAGAATGATGAAAGAAAATACTTTATCTGCTGCAACAGCCAACAACAACAATAAATCAACACTAGCCACAAATATGCCTCATCTTGTCATTAACCACAATAACAGCAGCAGCAGCAACAACAATAATAATTATGCCAATTCACCTCCATCTTCAACCACAAATTCCCCCCTGAATAAATATTGTGCTACCGGTACTGCCACAACATCATCTCTCCAGAATTCTTCAGGTCCATCCGCCATTACGACTGCTGTTAATGATTCGAATGGCAATGTTGAAAAGGTAAGTTTAACTATTAAATCTCATTTAACAAAGAAAATTTATTGTTTAAAGATTTACCAAATACCAATGTCCAATTGTTTGATACTTTAATAAGATTTTAAATTGACAATGTCATTTAAGCTTTAGAAAAGTTTCTCAAGAATGCTTCTGTAGTACTACTTTTGGGAAAGACATAGAATGCATTCAAAGTGCAGACGAAATAGATGGATAGATAGATAGATAGATAGATATAGATAGATAGATAGATAGATAGATAGATAGATAGATAGATGATAGATAGATAGATCGATCGTAGCTCGATAGATAGCTAGATAGATCGATCGGTCGATCTCGCTCAGCTATATCGATCGATGCTCGATCGATCTATCGCTGCTCGATAGCTCGCTCGCTCTCGCTCGATAGATCGCTAGCTCGCTCGCTCGCTCGCTCGCTCGCTCGCTCGCTCGCTCTCGCTCGCTCGCTCGTCGCTCGCTCGCTCGCTCGCTCGCTCGCTCGCTCGCTCGCTCGCTCGCTCGCTCGCTCGCTCGCTCGCTCCTGCCGTCGCTCGCTCGCTCGCTCGCTCGCTCGCTCTCTCGCTCGCTCGCTCGCTCCTCGCTCGCTCCTCGCTCCTCGCTCGCTCGCTCCTCCTCGCTCGCTCGCTCGCTCGCTCGCTCGCTCGCTCGCTCGCTCGCTCGCTCGCTCGCTCGCTCGCTCGCTCGCTCGCTCGCTCGCTCGCTCGCTCGCTCGCTCGCTCGCTCGCTCTCGCTCGCTCTCGCTCGCTCTCTCGCTCGCTCGCTCGCTCGCTCTCTCCTCGCTCGCTCGCTCGCTCGCTCGCTCGCTCGCTCGCTCGCTCGCTCTCTCGCTCGCTCGCTCGCTCGCTCCTCGCTCGCTGCTCGCTCGCTCGCTCCTCGCTCGCTCGCTCGCTCGCTCGCTCGCTCGCTCGCTCGCTCGCTCGCTCGCTCGCTCGCTCGTCCTCGGTCGCTCGCTCGCTCGCTCGCTCGCTCGCTCGCTCGCTCGCTCGCTCGCTCGCTCGCTCGCTCGCTCCTCGCTCGCTCGCTCGCTCGCTCGCTCGCTCGCTCGCTCGCTCGCTCGCTCCTCGCTCGCTCGCTCGCTCGCTCGCTCTCTCGCTCGCTCGCTCGCTCGCTCGCTCGCTCGCTCGCTCGCTCGCTCGCTCGCTCTCTCGCTCGCTCGCTCGCTCGCTCGCTCCTCGCTCGCTCGCTCGCTCGCTCGCTCGCTCGCTCGCTCGCTCCTCGCTCGCTCGCTCGCTCGCTCGCTCGCTCGCTCGCTCCCTCGCTCTCTCGCTCGTTCGCTCGCTCGCTCGCTCGCTCGCTCGCTCGCTCGCTCGCTCGCTCGCTCGCTCGCTCGCTCGCTCGCTCGCTCGCTCTCTCGCTCGCTCGCTCGCTCGCTCGCTCGCTCGCTCGCTCGCTCGCTCGCTCGCTCGCTCGGTCCCTCGGTCCTCGCTCTCCCCTCTCTCTCCTTCCCTTGCGCACTGCCTCTTCTCCCTCTCGTCGTCGGCTCTCCGCAAACACATACAATGTTGTCTTGCAAACTTTTCATACTGATCTTATGAGTGTGAAAGCATTTTTACGAAAGTGTTTTTTTGCCGTTGTTCATATCACAGTAGAACTATGAGATCTCCCTATGTAACAGGATGCTTATTATCTAAAATCTTTGAAATTAAAATAAATGATTATAAGTGAAAATTCACTTTCCTTCTTACAATTATATCCAACACTAAAGCAAGATTAAGATCTTACTACTCATATCCTCAAAATCTATTTGATCTTGTTTACTGTAACTCTAAAGCAAGATTAGATTAAACATTTTAAGCTGTCAAAATTTTAGAAATCCTTAAAAACAATTTCTTTCAATTAACAATACTTGACTACTCAGCCTGAAAGACAAACATACAAAATAAATAAATTTTCTTATTTTTACAGAGTTTTAACATAAAACAGTATATTTTCATTTTTTTAATAATAAATCATCACATACAGAGTTGTATTTAATGGATGAAATGAAATGCAATGAAATGAGAAAAACCAGATCTAAATTTTGATAAACGTTTTCACAAATTAACAAATGATTTCCGTTACAATATGACTGACTGACACCCGAACAAGAAACATTTTTAAAAAAACATAAATAAAACTAAAGAGTAGAAGAAAAAAGAAATAATGACTGAAATCATTGATTATGATTTAACTAACAGTGGTGGTGCTGCTGCCAGTTTTGTTAGAGATATACAAAAAGATATTTAAACATACAGTAAACCAACTTATATACATATTTATATTATAAATAAGAAAATAGCAGTAATAATAAGCGGAAATCATGTAGTTTTTCTTTTCGTTGTTTTTTTTTTCTATTCAGTATTATTTTGTGATTTAGTTAAACAGTCAGCAGCTACTTTTCACCAAAAGGCTGTGGCAAACTATTTTCTTCTGCATTTGCTGAAAAATTTGTATTATAAACTGCTGCTTTAACACTGACTGCTACAATTTTTCAAAAACAATTTGTCTTATTTTTTATAGTGTCTGTCTGTCTGTCTGTCTCCCCCTTTATTTCTTTATATTTAATTTTGAAAGTACCAGCAGGTTTTGTTTTTCAACATTAGTTTTTGTCGTGTTAACGATTAAAGATTATTGTTAAATTAATATATTAAAGAAATTTACTGAATAAAATTAATTTTTTTTCGAACTTTTTTTATGGTTACAGGAAAATATACGCTTTTATACACGTGCAGATATTTGTAATATCAGTGTCAGGACTCCAAACCAATGCAATGACAACCACTACCACCAACAACAACAGCAGCATCACCAACAGTTGGCAAATATTCATAATGCATCACCATCATCAGTAACGTCTACTTTGTATGGTGGTCAACATTTGTTGCATGTAAATGTTGGCAAACGTTTGCCACCACGTTCACCAGCCAAATCAAGTATTTCTCATACTTCAACAAATACCAGCACATCGACCATTTCACCCACTAAGGTAAGTTAAGTTGTTTGATCTAGTTTTTTTCCTCTTCTCTCTCTCTATCTGTTTGAAACCGTTTTGTTTTTCTTTTCCTCCGTTTTTTTTTTTTTTTTGGTCTTGAGAGATCTTTTCGAGATAAATGGTTTTTAAAAACAATATTATTAATGTTTTAAATATAATTGAAGTTGAAATATGATCATGATCGATTGATTTAAAGTGATGGAAAAACCAAGAAAATCATAAACGTGATCGATGTTAAATGTTACAAATTGATGAAATTTTATAAGCGATTTTGTAGCTAATGATCAGGGTAGGGGAGGCCAATGCAGTGCTTTATTGTTAATATTATATTTAAAGTATGTATTTAATAATTCTTTAAAATTTTAATATGGATCAGACTTTAGCTTGATCTCTTCTTTAGTTTCGACTGTAGTTTGATCACATCTATATGTACTTTGATCTATATTATTGAGAGTAGTCTGATCTATAATTTCGGCAGTAGTCTGATATATGATCTCGACTAGCATTTGGTCTATTCTCTCGACTATAGTATGATCTATAGTAAGGACTCTAGAATGATGTATAATCTGATCTATAGTCAGGACTATAAACTGATCTATAGTCAGGACTATAAACTGATCTGAGTCAGGACTATAAACTGATCTATAGTCAAGACTATAGACTGATCAATAGTCAAGACTATAGATTGATCTAGAGTCAAGACTATAGACTAATCTATAGTCAAGACAATAGACCGATCTATAGTTAAGACTATAGACTGATCTATAGTCAAGACTATAGACTGATCTATAGTCAAGACTATAGACTGATCTATAGTCAAGACTATAGACTGATCTATAGTCAAGACTATAGACTGATCTATAGCCAAGACTATAGACTGATCTATAGTCAAGACTATAGACTAATCTACCGTCAAGACTATAGACTAATCTATAGTCAAGACTATGGACTGATCTATAGTCAAGACTATAGACTGATCTATAGTCAAGACTACAGACCGATCTATAGTCAAGACTACAGACTGATCTATAGTCAAGACTACAGACTGATCTATAGTCAAGACTATATACTGATAGTCAAGACTATAGACTGATCTATAGTCAAGACTATATACTGATCTATATTCAAGATTATAGACTGATTTATAGTCAAGTCTATAGACTGATCTATAGTCAAGACTATAGACTGATCTATAGTCAAGTCTATAGACTGATCTATAGTCAAGACTATAGACTGATCTATAGTCAAGACTACAGACTGATCTATAGTCAAGACTACAGACTGATCTATAGTCAAGATTATAGACTGATCTATAGTCAAGACTATATACTGATAGTCAAGACTATAGACTGATCTATAGTCAAGACTATATACTGATCTATATTCAAGACTATAGACTGATCTATAGTCAAGACTATAGACTGATATATAGTCAAGACTTTAAACTGATCTATAGTCAAGACTATTGACTGATCTATAGTCAAGACTATAGACTGATCTATAGTCAAGACTATAGACTGATCTATAGTCAAGACTATAGACTGATCTATAGTCAAGACTATAGACTGATCTAAAGTCAAGACTAAAGACTGATCTATAGTCAAGACTATAGACTGATCTATAGTCAAGACTATAGACTGATCTATAGTCAAGACTATAGACTCATCTATAATCCAGACTATAGACTGATCTATAGTCAAGACTATAGACTGATCTATAGTCAAGACTATAGACTGATTTATAGTCAAAACTATAGACCGATCTATAGTCAAGACTATAGACTGAACTATAGTCAAGTCTATAGACTGATCTATAGTTAAGACTATAGGCTGATCTATAGTCAAGACTATAGAGACTGATCTTTAATCATGATTATAGACTGTTCTATAGTCAAGACTATAGATTGATCTATAGTCTAGACTACAGACTGATCAATAGTCAAGACTGACTGATCTATAGTCAAGACTATAGACTGTAATAGACTCTATTATAGTTTTATCTACAGTCTCGACTCTAGTTTGATCCATAATCCCGACTATAGTCTTATCTAGTCTTTTTTTATGATCTATTGTAACGCTAAGAGTTTGATCAATAGTCTGATCTATGGTTTCGACTATCTTGTCCCGATTAAGGTTTGATCTTTAGTCTAATCTATAGTCACAACTAGAATCTGTTAAAGTCGTTATTATAATCTAGTCCCAATTACTTTTTAGTTTTTTTTTTTGTATTTATAAGTTTCGAATTCAAGTTTTTAGAACCCCTATAAATCAAAAGCTTTCTCCTTTCAAGTTCCATATAAAAACACCTCACCAATTTAAACATTTTCCTCGAAAATTAATTCATAAATCTTTTAAGTTCAAACCAAAACTGATTTTTTCTTTTATAATAAATTTCACAGAAATTTTAAATAAAAAGTATTTTTTATTTCTAAATAAATGAACTCATTATAAAGCACAGCAAAAAACCCCTAAGCTCCTTTCAGGCCAACTGAATATAATTTTCAAATCATATAAATAAATAGCCCACAAATGTAACTTTTTCTATTACTGCGAACTAGTAAATTAGTAGGCGTTCGTTTGGCAGAAAAGTCATCAAGAAAATAGATTTGATTTTTATACACAAGACACTTAATCAAGTCAAGCGCAAAAGAAACAAAATTTCCCAAAAAGACATAATTCACCTTGGCAGTGACTTATGCGTATGACAAATAAGCAAAACAAAAAATACATTTTGAAAAATTATGGCGAAAACGTTTATCGAAGGCGTGCTAAAGTGCGTTGATATTTGAGGTAACAAGTGTCACAAGATTGTTGGCAACCAAAGCCAACCACGACATACTCATGCAATAACTTACGCATGCGCTTACGTGTACATATATGAATATGATACAATTTTTACTTTAGGCCACAAATTTTCGTTGAACTGCAATTACATAAAGAAATGTCTTGGCAAATTTTCGCTTTTCTTTTACCCCAAAAACAATCGATTGTAATGAAAACTCGTAATTACCTACACAATTTAGTTGGTTGGATTTTTCTTTTGTATCCCAGTGTGTGTTTGATTTTAAATTCCAAAAAAAAAAATCCCACAAGGAATTAACTATAAATTCGTGTTGCAAACACGATTTTTTACATGAGTTTTTATGTATCGGTACCGGTATGGAAAAGAAAATTAAATATTGAAACTGAAAATTATGCGTAGAGGCGGCGGTAAATAACATACAACACACTCTTAGTCATTTTAGTTGGCATGAATATAGACAAATAAAAGTAGTAAGTTAAGGACTGATAGCAGTTATACTGGAGTAGGAATTTCAAACTATTCGAAAAGATGGAGTTGAGATAAAAAGCTATTACAGTTTCATTTCGTTTTTTAAACAGCCTGAAGTAATTTGCCCAATTTAACAATTATTCGATATCATCTTGCCCATTCTTTTACCCAATTCAATAGATCCTTTACCTTTTTCTTACACATTTTTAAGCATAGAGTGTGTTCATGTCATTAAAATTGTTGGCAAAAAAGATTTGTTGTTCAACAGCAATGTCCATGAAAATATATTGAGGGGAAACAAATAACAAATATTACGATGAGAGTACGATATAAAATTTCCAAGAGACCTAAAGAGATCAACATGGGACGACCACCATGGGAGTTAACGGGCAAAACACTTAATTTTCACAGTTTTCTCAAACATATATGGAAAACATAAAAAATACATATTTGCTCACACATATGTATGTTTTGTTTTGTCTGATCATGATGAAAAGGATTTTCAAATCATTGTAATATATATTATTGACATTGATTTGTGGCAAAACTAAATACGTTTGTGAATTTCACGGCAGATTAATATGTAGAGGTGAAAAATTAATTAAAAAAAATGGTTGTAATACGAAAAGATCTATAGTTTATTGAATCATTTTATAAGAAATGAAAAATTGCCCTTCTGAAACCGAAATTATTTGGTTCGAAGGACCACAGTTAAACTTCGAGTACAGTCAATATCGCAGAATTTTAGTTCAAAAACCTTGCTGATATATAGTAGTAAGGTTTCTTTTTGTGCAGTTAACCAAATTTTCTCAAATTATCCGAATATATTGATAAAAACCCAAAATTGTTGTAATTTATCGCACTCTATACAGAAAATTATGAAGTTCTGCAAACAAACTTCACGTCCCTTGAAATATACACTTGAATTTTTGTCCCTAGTAGTTCTTAAGAATATCGATTACGTACAAGTATTACTCCTTTTATTCCCTACACAACTATAGTGGGTAGGGTATTATGAGTTTGTGCTGATATTTGTAATATCCAATAATATTGGTCCTACATCCACCTTACTGTATACCAGTAGGCTATGAATCACTTTCTGAGTCGATTTAGCTATGTCCGTCCGTCTGTGTGTCCGAAATTTTCAAGATAATTTAATGAAATTTGTCACATACTCTTCTTTTGACCCAAAGCCTTTTGAAAATAGTTAGAATCGGTCCAATGTTTCGCATAGCCCCCATACAACTGTACCCCCCAAATAGGGCTTTTGAGCTCATAATTATGCTAAATGTTCTAATGATATTGATATGTTTCTAAATGATGCTGCCGATTTTAGTAATGATTGGGCCTCATTTGACTCTAGCCCCCATACAAACTCCTCCTCCGAAAAAAGACTTGAAGGTCGAAATTCACTTATAAACACTAATAACGCGGCGAAATTCTGCATAAATAACTTTAATGTAAAGTTACCACAATAGGCCCATACTTACCCTTACCCGCATATAAACCCTTTTGTAGAAAATCTTTTTTTTTTTGTCCTGAAAAAGTAAAAATATTGGGGAAATAAGGTGAAAACAGATTAAATGCTTTATTATTAAAAAAATAATCAACATTTTTAACATACTCGCTGGTGTAGGGTATCATATGGCCAGCCATGTCTGACTATCCATTCATACTTGATTAATATATGTAGATATTACAGATCGATCATAGCTTTGATCCTT